TTTTTCGCCACATTACGGCATTTTTAACCGAACAGGTCAGCAGAAATATATTACTTTCGCCGCTCCATACAGCATGGTAAAAGTCATATTGTGATAGGCAAATCTTACTCACATCTCCGCCCAACATTTGATATGCCACACGCCACATGGTCAAGTCAACCGCGCTGTTCGTTCGCACTCTCTTACGGAAGTGGTGTTAGGTGGATTTGTTTGAGGGTCACGAACCTTCTTTCAAGATGACTTTCACCTCAAATTTTTGAACGCACCACGACACGAGTCTCCGCATCTCAATCGGACCCGTCCCACCCCATTTTAGAGGGTGCAGGCGAGCGGGTGTATGACATGGCCATACGGCATATACCGTCGTCGCGTGGCGTGTTAAATGCCAATCAGAGACACAAGAAATATCAAATGATCACTGGTATCTAGATTTCTTGTCACAAACTTTCGAATTATAAGGGAGCTACACTCCTGTGACAGCCGACCTGCTCAGCCTCTAGATGAAATGGTAGCCAAAATCTCACGTGATCCTAAGATGTGTGAGGTCTGAAGGAAGCAAAATCACGAAAATACCTGAGAAGCCGTTGCTGTGCTCTCGGGCCTCTTCTTTCGTACCACAGGTTCAGCATCACGTTGCTCAATCTTCTGTGCTGCACGGTTCTCAGCTTTTCCCAATTTTTTCTTGTCCACTGACTACAATCAGAAAATATCAAAAAATTAGCTATCGTAACCCTTGTAAACAACAGGATCGACCCGCAGGAAATCCAGAAGATAACCCTCGCCTCTACTTTTCGCAGGCGTTTCGAGCGTTCTGAGCGCAAAGCAAAGTGTAGGCGAAACTCTTGAAACGCTCGGAAAGCCCAAAACGCTAGATCGATAACTATACTTTCCTTTTCGCTCAAAACGCTGGCCACTCTCCCAAAACGTTAAATACCGACGAGAAGTATAAACGCAGATTCACGGGGGAAACGTCTCGAATGAAGCGCAGCTGTCTGAAAATCCTACCGTCGGCACATCTCTGGCTTGCACCTTCCATATACTCTCCATCTCGGCAAAACTGTGATTCTCAGCAGCCATATCCACAGCCTGATCCAATTTCTTTGTAGTTGCCCCATGTTTTTCAACTTTTGGCAAATTCCTGAATATGAGGTGCTGGTCGGTGGCAGAAACCAGAATTCCGAGGATTTCAAAGCTCAGAGAGAATCAAGAATAGCTGAAAAACGAAAAAAA